CGTCTCCATCAACAGCAGAGGAAAGGGAAAGGAGCTTCTTGAACTTGCGGCCAGTTGTCTTGCGGTAGACGGCGGGGTCCTTGGCGACAGTCTCCTCGAAGTAGAGGACGTCCTCAGCGACCTCTCCGTCACGTGGATCCTCGCAGTTGGTCCTTCCTTCAATCTGCTGTTGTTGGAACTCTTCCCAGGCTTCAACCTCAGCACGCATGTAGCTGACGTGGTCCAAATGGTCGGACCAGTCGACGGGGCTCCAACCCTCAGGCACATTGTGTGGTTCGCACCCGTCTTCCACATAGGTCTTGTGGGCTGTCTCCAGCTGGTTGACGACTTCGCCCTCTGCTGCGTGGGTCTCTTCGAAGGAGTCAAGGTCAAAGTCCAAGATGTCAACTGCAAGGTGGCCTCTGGAGGTCTTGACCAAGGGGAGGTCCTTGACGCCGATGGCAGTGAAGCTCACCTTTCCTGCGCCAACGTCAATGATGCTGCATGAACGGCCTGGAAAGAAGTAGAGGAAGAGCACCGGGAGCCTCAGACGAGCACATCTCCCCGTGGACTTTGGCCAACCCAATAGGATAGACCTTCACCACGTCGCTTTGGATCTGACCGCCAACGCCTTTGAATATCTGCTTCTTGCTGAGGGAGTGGAAGGCGAGGCCTCGGCTCTTCAGCTCGGCCTCAAAACGCTCTGCCCAAACTGACCCGTGCATAGTTCGGGTGCATCCGCTGTCCAAAATGGCCAGTCCAGGTGGATCTGCTTCTGAAGTCACATAGGACGAAGGAATCTCCGAATCAGCGGCTGTCATGTCACTGGATTCCTCCGAAGTGAAGGGCGTCACCATCATCACGTCGCAGTCGCGCTCAGAAACAAGCTCAAGATGGTGCGGGTCAGTAGCCACAGGTATTCTGAGCTGCCTGGTGGTGATCATGTCCGAAGGGCGCAACACTCGCTTCCCGGAGTCCGAGCCGACGCCATGCAACCTGGTCACTGCATCCCGAACCAAGCGAAGTCGCCCGTAGAGGTAGAAGGCGAAGGAGTAGACCTCTGGACGCATAGGGTTGTTGTGCAAGGCAAAGGTGAGGATCTGGGAGCACCACCACGAGCACTCGGCCGAGGAGGACACTTCTTCAAACGTCCTGAGTGTCAGGTCCAAGTCGCGTTCCATCCGACGGCAGCGCGGAAAGCACATCAGAGTCTTCCGCCGAGAGCTCAGGGAACGGTGGAAGTTCCAAGGATGGAGCCACGCAAACTCCGTAAACCCATATGCGTTGCTCGACGACCTGGTCATCCCGCACGATCTTCGCCACAAAAGAGCTGGAAGAACTTGCCTGAGAAGCTGGGTACGGAGAAGCCGGCGCGGAGGAAGGTGAAGCAACCACAAGCCAAGAGCCAGCAGCTCCCGGAGGTGACGCATGACCTTGCTGTTTCGGAGGCGGGCCGGCGCGCAACTCTGTCTCTCGCTCTTCCAGAGCTGCAAGCCGGACCGTTGTGACCCTCTGAAACAGCTCTCGGGAACGAGCCTTGGAGCCCTGCTTGGCGCAAAGAGCAACCTGGACGAGGTACTTCCAGAGTGTCAGTGGCTCACGGCGTCGACCTGTGATCACTGCCTTGTTGCACTCAGGCTCCTTGCACCAGAACTGGCGTACATGTCCATTGGCTGACCTGTGGAAGTTTCGCTCATTGCCTCCCTTGTAGCTGGAGTGCTCGCAAAGATCCTCCGTCTTCAAAACCATCAGGACCTCGGACTCGTTGCTGTCAATCTCGAAGTGGTTGGAGAACTTGTCGAAGGAGGGGCCGAGGGAGTCAACGGGGACGACGGCAAGCACCTCACCATCCACAGGCGTCTTGCTGTCGGCGGCGAGGAGCGTCTCAGCGTCGCCGTCTTGCACAAAGAAAGTTGAGGATGCCTTCTTCTTTGGGAAAGTCTTCTTCTTCGGGGACGTCGGCCGATTGCCCTTCCCTCCTTTCTTGGCGTTGGGGCACTCGACGTCTCCGGCCCAGTGCCCCTTCTGACCGCAGGAAGTGCAGGGCGTCACGCTCTTCAGGAACTTGATGGCCTTGGCCCTCTGGTCCAGGGTGACCTCGCCCTTGGCCTGAAAGTTGAAGCTTTGCGGCTTGCCACCCTTGGAGGTGCCCTGTGGCCGGGCCATCTTCTTTCTCTGCATGATGGCGGCGAAGGCATCGGCCAGCTCGGTTTCATCCGCGAAGTCATAGTCTAACACCATGGCCTCCAAGGCGTCGTCGTCCGAGTAGCCGTCAGCCTCCAGCGCTTCCTCATCCACAATGGCCTCGTCGTCCTCGAAGTAGGCGTCTTCGCCCTCATCTTTCTCCTCTTCGTCCTCATAAGTGACCATGGCGTACCCCTTTCGGCCCTTGCCAAAATGGCGTTGGCCCGAATACTTCGGCTTCATCTTTGTGGAAGGGGGCAGCGCAGAGGACGAAGAGCGGCCGCAACCAAGGTAGTCGCGGCGGTGGACAGGCTTACCAGAGCAAGAAGGATACTGGATCCTCAAGGCATGGCTTATCTTCTTGAAGTCGTACTCGTTGTTGACGGAGGCGAGCACGTTCAACTGCTCTCTGCTGTCCAGGCCTCCAAATGCCAGCAGCATCATGGCCCGAATGTGGTCTGGAATCTTTGACCCAGCCAGGTTCTCCTCAAGGCGCTGGAAGTCTTGTTCTCGGCGGACAATATACTGCTGCATACTCTCCGTCTGCAGTCGCCAAACCTGGGGGGAGTAGAAGGCGCCGAAGAACAGCTCATTGGTCTTCACCGGCGCCTCTTGCTCGATGTTGTCGCGAAGGGTCTTTAAGAGTAAGGTGAGGCCCTTCTCAAAGGGCTTTCCTTCGGTGTCCTTCGTGATGAGGGAGGTGTGCTCAAGCTTCCGGACTGCGTTGTAGGCCGAACCAGTGAGCCCTGACCTCAAGTGGACAGGCGTCGCCACCTGCAGCTGATCAGAGCCAAGGCGGCCGTACCACAAATCCCAGCAGCGCTCAGCATACTCTTCATATAGTTCGGGCTCACCGCAGTACTGAGGAACACCATATCGATCCACGTCGAGTTTCGAAGCCATGATTGCTGTTGCGAATCACGTGCCAGCGCAAAGGCGAAGCACTAAAGTCGAGGCGCCGGCAAAAAGGCGGGCGCGAGAAAAGGTTGGCCGGAGGGTTACCGACCTGTTGCGGAGTGGGCGCAGCAGCGCGGCACTTGCGTGCCCCAGCGGATCACCCTGCTTACAGCAAGGCTCCGCTCACCATGAAAATCCAAGCGGCGGCGCGCAGGATCAATGGCAGCTTTTTCCCTTTGCACTAAGGGCGCCCTGCAGTGAGCCGGTGCCACGGCGATAAGCCTATACATCAATGCCGTGCTTCTGCAAAGGTGATAGATTTTCACTGGGCTTATAACCCTACTTATAGTTGGGATAACCCCTATAAGGCCCTTTAGGGGTATTATTGAGTAGGGTTATAAGTACAGTTACAATTGGTTCGTAAGTACCATGAACCTTCAAGTACCAGTTTGGGTTTTATGCGTTTGCGGCTGAGGTGGATATGGGGTTTTACGAAAATAGGGGGGCCCCCTAAGTCGACCCCCTAAAATGGTAGGACTCCCCTTTAAAAAAAAAGACCTCAAGAGAAGCAGAAACGGTCCTTCTTGTCTGGAGTTGAAGTTGAGGCTATACTCCCCTTAGAACCTTAGTAGAAATCCTCTTGGGTTTTTCTGTAAACAAGAATTGTAAGTTATTCCCAAGGGGATATAGGAGCGCTTAGGGGCCTCTTTTCGGATCTTAGCAGGTGGCAGGTCTATGAGGCGGCAACATCCCTCGGTGAGCACCGAAGCCTCATCCTTGGAGCCCTCTTGCCATTCCTAGATTCTAGGTTCTAGGGTTTAGGGTTTAGGGTTTAGGGTTCAGGGATCGCAAGAGCGGCAATGACTTGATTCGAGCCGCCGGGTTTAGAGATTGGGTTTTAGGGGTGTTAAAGATGAACAGAAGTATCTGAATGAGCACCCCAACTAAATATATCTAAATATAGTGGGAGGGTTTAGGCAGCAGGGACTCTACTGTCTGCACGCTAAGCCCCTACCGATGCAAGGGCTACAGTAGATTGATTAGCACTTCTGGCGGCACAGCAGGACACAAGGCGTTTCGTGCATACATCAGCGAATGTTACTGCCCCACCCTTTCCCCATAACAAGCTCACTTTAGGTTTTTCATCAACTTACAGGTCGCAGATGGCCAACGGCCCCCCCCAAAAAAAACAAGGGCGCTTCATAAAGGCTTGCTTAACCCTGCCGATTGTGGCCTCCTTTGTTGTAGCCACCTGTAGTAGCCAATAACGCGTGACACAGAGCCGCACCCTCCTACCAGTCCCAGTGCCGAATTCACTGGGCCAGGGAGTCTCGAAGGTTTGTCATGGCGATGCCCGACTTAGTCACCGAACTGATTGGGGGGTGAGAATTCTCAGTTTCGCCGCTGGGGGAACAAGCCACTACAAGAGAAAATGGAGGGCCTTAGACGTCTTCACGGGAGTGGAGTGCAAACCAAGGTGCCTCTCGAAAGAATCATCGGGATCAGTACGAATAGTCTTCCCTTCTGCTCCCTATATAAATATACTGTAGTAGCCCCCAAAACCCTATTCTAATTAGTAAGGTCCCTATACTCACCGTCGATTGGTTCATGGTCCAAAGTAGGCAGACGAAGAAGACCAAGTCCTCGGACGATCGCCGCTCCGTCTCCTTACCTATACACCCTCTGAACACTCTGAACCCTAAAAGCCTTTAAAACAATTCTTGAAAACCCTATATATATATATATATACCCTACAAACCCTAGAAACCCTGGAAACCCGAGAAACCCGATAAACCCTAGAAACCCTAGAAACCCTAGAAACCCTAGAAACCCTAGAAAAACAAGAAACCCTAGAAACCCTAGAAACCCTGAAAACCCTGAAAACCCTAGAAACCCTACAAACCCGAGAAACCCCACCCATTGTCCTAGGACCACTCAGCCTCAATAGCGCGGCGTCCGCGGCCGCAAGGCGCCGCACGTCCGGCCGCTGCACCTCTTAGGCTTCGTTTCTTTTGAGGGAGTTCAGGAATTGGTTTAGGGTTTAGGGTCTAGGGTTTAGGGTTTAGGGTTCAGGGTTCAGGGTTCAGGGTTCAGGGTTCAGGGTTCAGGGTTCAGGGTTTATGGCTCTAGGGGCTTTTGGGGCTCTATGGGCCAGGATGGGCTCTCAGGCCTTATTAAATCGCCAGAGTCAACCCAATAAAGGGCCCTTTTGTAGAGGCGTTACAGGGTACTATGGCCGACCCTAGGGTTTAGGGTTTAGTGTTCTTGGGATTGTGGAGACATGCCGCAGTAAAGGAGACAGAAAAGCTCTTATAGGCCTTGTTTGCAGAGATCCACAAGACTCTGTCGACCTGGGTCGGGGGGTTGGGATCACGCCTCAAGGTCCTTGGCAAGTGGTGGTGCCACCATCGGTTCGACTCGTTAAACGACCCAAGCAGTCCCTTCCGTTCTTCGGGGCACCCTAAACCCTAAACCTTAGGCCCTAGGCCCTAAGCCCTACGCCCTACACCCGAAAACGGCGCCCTGCCTTCACAGCCACCTTGCGACCCCGGACGAAACCTGCGAGGTGCCGTGCAGAAATGAATCTGCACTCTGAGCCTCTGCTACAATTTGAATAGGTTTGCTATAAATATATATATATATATGTATTTATTTATTGGGTTTTTCTGTTTGGGGGGGAGGGGATTCCATACGGGAATACTATTAGTAGTTTACTCCGACCCCTTACCTGGCCGTGCTCGATGTTCATGAGAGCTGGTAGGATGACGGGGTCTCATGGTCTCCCGGACACTGTTCTTCAAAGTTGTACGAGTAGCTGGTGTCCGAAGTCCCCATCTGCAATGCGATGCCATCAGCAGCAGCACCACCACCACCACAAAACCACCCCCACCACCACCACCATCACCACCAAAATGACAAATCGAAATCCTGCCGTCCTCGAAGCCCGAAGACCCACACCCGCAAACCATAAGCAGCACCATCAGCACCCAGGGACAAGGCCCTACATCTTACTCCCCAAGGTCACCTTCTTGAGGGCCTCTCCGTGCCAGTGAACCTATCGAACCCCCCTCAGCCCTTGAAACCTGTAAACTCCTCAAGCCTCAGACGAGCCTCAGCTCCCTAGACCCGGACATTTTCGGCAATTCCAACCCCTGAGATGTGGAGCCTAGGATGATCCCATTTTCTTGGAACAGAGAAACCCGATTTCCTTCCGAAACAACCCACAGGTCTTGAGCCCTTACCCCCTGCAGCCTTGGTAGACTTGGCCCAGGGAGGCCGCTGCTATGGGCTTGGAGTCCTCCAGCGACCTCTTGTTTCCAGTTTTGTTTAGGGACTCCCAGGTTCAGGATTCAGCGTTCAAGGCTGTGGGTGGCTGGCTGAGGTTCGTGCGGGTCTTTTTTGTGGGGGGAAAGGGGGGGTTGGGCGGGAAGGGGTGAGGGGGGGGAAGGGGTGGGCAAGGTGGTTCGTGGGGGTTAACTGTCGCTGATGCCCAGTGGAAAAGGCCACGCCACACACCCTAAACTTTACATCCCTAAACCCTAACCCTAAGCCTTAATCCCGAAACCCTAAACACAAGTGTCCTCTGGGCGAGGCAGCCATGCCAAGAAGCCGACGAAAGCAGCTTCATGGCAGAACCCCGATCCTTCCGGCACACAACTGGTCAGTTCTCAAAATTATGGCACCTCTTTGGGTTCTCTTATGAGAAGTGGCCAGCCGTCGAAAACAACAGCGCATTGAGAAGCGGGAAATCCCAACTCACTCGCGCCGCGCTCCTCTGCAAGTGCCAACTCCTCCGACATAATCTCCAGAGCTTGCGCCGTATCAAAAGGTGCGAGGTCGTCCTGTCGCAGGCTTACATTTTTTGTGCTTGTCATGTGAGCAGCCCGCCCATGTAAGCTTTGAAATGTACGTACGCCGCCTACGACATGCAGGCACTGCTCCAAAATTACTCTGAACCCGGCCTGAAGCTGAACCAACTCGTCGGCAATCTCCGAGGTGACCAGATCGGGGCCTGGGAGGTTGGGATTCAGGCTCTGTCCACTCGCTCTTACGCTTCTAAGGGCGCTCATACGCTTCTAAGGGCACGCACCTAATGGCCCTGAACATCTCAGCTTTCGCGATCAGGTGTGCGTCTCTGTCCAACTTCAGGGACATACTCCACATGCCTTCAAATGCCTTCAAACCAATGAGACTTGGCCTCTTACTAGGCCTATCCACACAGAAACACTGAAAGAACGGTAACGTGAACAGAGTGGTTTTTGTGCTCCTTGTCCAGATCAGGATGGTACTCTCTCATCAACAATTCAAGAAAGCATCGCCTTGAGCTTGCGTTTAAGCACATGCGGGCATACACGAGGTCCTTTGAAGGTCAACCCCTAAACCCAGGATCCAAGCCTCCCATGCTCTAAGGCCCAAGATGTGTAAGACATGTAAGATTGGGGAGCTGTGAGGTGAGTGGACCCTAGGTTGCAAGTCTGCGCGCCCCGACATGACTTTAAACCCCAAGCCCTAAACCCTAAACCCTAAACCCTAAACCCTGAACCCTTCATCGGGATGCGTGTATTGATGAGCTGTTTGGTGCATCTCTTCGAAGCCGCCTGGATCCTTCGGGCCCTGGGTTGGGAACGCTAAACCCTAAACCCTAAACCCTAAACCCTAAACCCTAAAGCCTATGTAAACCCTGAACCCGAAACCCTGAACCCTAGGCCCTAAATTTGGGCTTTGGGCCCAGGCTTCAGGATAGCTGAGCCTCAAACGCGATGCCAAGGCCTGTCCCAGCTTGATGTACCTTGACCCGAAGTGCACGGCCCTCATGCGTATTCCCTTGACCACGCCTTCTAGTTTCTGATGAGGGCTCGGTCAGGTTGTCCGCAGGTTCTTGAGGGTCTACCTTTACACTAAAATATCGGGGAAGGGCCCGACAATCTACATCAACCCCACATGGAGCCCTCTGTGTTTTGGGAGCCCTCCGCTCCCCCGTGTCTGGAGCTTCCCCTGAGACCCTGGACCCCCTGGCACCCCCCCTGAGACCTCGGCACCCCCCCCTTGCAACCCTTTGAACCTTCCTGGGTCCCTCCCGAACACATTGAACACATCCCCTAAAACCTTAAGAGCCTGCCAGACCCGCGAAAGGCTTTTCGAATTTCTTGGCGTTTACAACTACCTTGTCAGCCCTGAAACCTTCCACCCTGGGACTAACAGGGAGTTCCATTGATCTCCGAACCTGAAGCCCGAGCTCCCTGACTCACGAGCCCCGTTTTGCGGGGGCTCTTCGGGGAGTTGAGAGCTCCGATACCTCCCGAAACCCACAGCCCCCAAATGACAAACGGACAAGCAAGGAAGGTACGAGGGGCCCAGCTCGCAGAGTGTTGTCAACACCTGCTCCGGGGGGGGGGGGGGGGGGCTGGGATGGCACATCTCAAAGTGCACGCGCGTATACATATATGTGTATACACATGTGCATATACACACATACATGTGTATGTATGTATCTATCTATCTATACATACATACATACATACATACATACACACATCCATACATATTAATATACACATATATATATATATATAGCCCACAGTCTGCAAAAAGCATGTGTACAGATTTCCACGTAGAGTATAGCAGCTGTTTCTGACAGAAACACAAGGGTGCAGGGCTGACAATCTTCCGGGGCGAGCCTTTGTTCAAAGGAGCCATCCCTTCTAATGGTGTTCACCTCAAGGGAACCGATCCCTGACAAACAGCACAGAATACCACAGAGGGGAGGGAATGGATGGCCGGAAAGTGCCCGGGGCGCACAGCAGCAGAGGAGAGAGGGTTTGAACAGGAACCCTCAGCCCCAAGCCGGGGGGTAGAGTGCGAAAAACTGGCCCCAAACCCTAAACCTTAAACCCTAAACCCACCACGAACCACAGACCATACACCGCAGCGGTGGGGAGGGGGAGGGCTATTGGCAGAGAGGGTGGGAACACCGGGAACCCGAAATCTTAAACCCTAACGGGGGCCATGAACAACGCCAAAACCCTAGAAACTGAAGCCTAACCCTAAACCCACCATGAATTACAGACCAAGAACCAGAGTGGGGAAGGGGCGGGGGGGGGGGGGCAAATAGATGGATCCACGTGGCATCACACCGAGCCCCAAGTAGCTCAGCCCCACCCGCTGAGCGCCTGCGGTGCGACGTGTCGGCGGCAAGAAGCCCAGGCCTGTCTGAGAGTTTGGGGCTTTAGGGGTGTTCGGGCTTAAGGGTTTTGCGGGTTCAGGCTCCTTAGATGTTCAAGGACTTTCGGGTTTGAGGGTTAGGTTTGTTTACGGCTTGAGTTTCTTTTTGTGAAGCTTCGTTGTTTAAGGAGTTTAGGGCTCCGTCTTGCGCCCTCAGCAATCTGGATCGCCTGTAACGACCAAAAAACGCCGAACCCAAACCTTCTTTCAGAGCCTCTGCGAACCAACGTCAAACTGATCAACGGCTCCGAAAAGCAGAGGGTTTTAGGGTTTAGGGTTTAGGATGTGGGGTGTAGGGTTTACGGTCATGAGTCCATGCCCCCGGGGGAGCTACTTTTTCGGCACCAGGCACCTGGCGGCTGTTCAAACTGGAGCTTCTACGATGCGTCGAATGCCTGTACACGACTGCCTCGAAACCCACGGCCACATAATGACACGCGTGTCAGTGGCGAAACAAACCGCGGCTTGAATCTCTGTGATGCCTCGCAAGCCGGCGCATGCGAAGGACCAGTCCAAGACACTGATCCAGGCAACATTCAAGCGGGATGCCCGCACAGATCTGCTGAGTTTTGTCAAGTCCCTTGCACCCCAAATATCCCTAAATCCCTAGAGATCCTCAAAACCCTAAACTCTAAACTTTAAACCCTTAAAGAACCATACTAAACCCAAACCCAAGCCCGGGCCCGAGAAGGGTGAGACAGCGCTGTCCCATCCTTGGCTTAGCGGCCGGAAGGGACCCCCCCCGTGGGGTCCTTGAAGTCTTGACGCCACTGTTTGGGGTTTAGGTTCTTAGGGTTTTGGGGTTTTAGGGTTTCGGGTTTAGGATGTAGGGTTTAAGAGGGTGCTTGGGGCTGTAGGGCTTCGGGTCCGGGTGGTGGGGTTTATAGAGCTTATGGCGTCTAGGGCTGTCAGGGCTTGTAGGGAGGGGTCATAGGGTTTAGAGTTGGGGCCCTTCATGGACCTTTGTTCGCAATAGAGCCTCATTCATGTTTGCACCACGCCGTTGACCTCAATGCGCCAAAAGAGACGATTAGATGCTTGAAGCTCCCCTTGCCCACCCCCCTCCCCCCCGGACGGCAGTGAGGTTTTCGACGAGCCGCTTTCGATTACAGGACCCCCGCAAGGGCGGGTTCAAGGTGGGCTTGGGGCGGGTGGGGGGATGGGGGGTTGGGGGGGGGGGGTTTGGGGGGGGGGGGGGGGGGGCGCGGGCCGGGGGGGGGCGGAGGGGGGTGGGGGGCGCGGGGGGCGGGGCGGGGGGGGGGGTTATTCCTGCTGTTCGGATTATTTGGGTGCAGTATGTGCAGTCTTATGTCTGCTAGTAGCATTGTCATCCTAAGATGATGGTTCTCATAGCATCATAAGTTGCAGGGCAGTCGTTAGCACGGGTGCCCGTTCGAGTACTCTGAGCATTTGAGGGGTACTACTCGAGTTCATGTTGATGCTACAGCTTCTAGGCTTATGCCGTCATCTTCATGGAGGCTCGGGAGATCTAGAGCCTACTGCAAAAATCCTTTCAGATCGGGCCCCCTTGCCGAGGTCCCTTGCCGACACTTGCCCAAGGTCAGTTTTGGTTGCTCCTGCCGGTGATCTCCTGTGCAGGCAAGGATGGAGATACATTGGGACGTCAGTGTACCCAAACATCGCAGACAAAACCAAGCGCGCAGTACTCTGATGCCGGAATTGCTATTGTGATTGCTTAGGGAGCACAGAGCACTTTCATAGCAAAGTTCGAGGAAGCGTGGTGAGAAGCCCGGTAGCGACCAGTCATGACAGCAGCCGAAGCACACATGCAACCTAACCGTCCGTACCAGGAATCCCACAGCTCGGGAAACCGGCTAGGGTCCAGGATTTGAGAAATTTGCTTTTATGTATACCTCATCTTCTTGAGCAAGCTTCCCCTGCTCTGCAAAAAGGCTGAGTTCACAGGGGCCAGAGCCTTTTCGGGAGGCTGTCGCAGGGTGGAGGACGGTTTGCTGAAACCTTCTTTGAAAGAGCAAACGGAGGCATCAACACTCGCCAGAGGAGGAAGAGTAATAGGCTCAAAAAGCCCTAGCAATCCTCAGCACAGCACGCCTTGGCATGGGTCAGTCTGCTCCATGGAAGCCCTCGCGCATGTCTAGGCCGACCTCCGCAAAGTCCTCCTGGTTTGAAAGGGGGTTCGCCAGGTTGGACGTTAAACCCTCTGAACAGTCTCCGACAGGAACCTCTACCAGCAACGGAAGATAGCAACTTGATCGGTTTTGGTGGGGAGGGAAGCATTGGAAGGCCTTGGACAGATCAGGGTTAGTCCGGGCTTGGGGAACACGAACTTGTACCCGTCGCTTCAGTGGAACGGCCGTGTGGAGATCAATGCGGCGAACGTGCGCCTTCTGACAGTACACACCCAAACCCTGAAGCAAAGGAACAAGTTGCCGAGGTCCTCGGACAACGGAGGCAGTCCCTTGACTTTCCTGGGTTGAGTTCTTTGGGGCGGTGAATCATGAAGGTTTCGGATTTCGGGGTTTTGGTGCTTGAACAGCCCCAGGCAACTACAATCCGCAACTAGGAGCCAGCCATAGCCAGCCTCCAACCCCCACATGTCAACCTCCATTCCCTCAAACGCAGCGGTCAGCACCTGCCTTCGTATCCCTTGAAACCCTGAAGCTTACAATCCTTACCAGGACCCTCAACACAGGCAGCTTGAACCCTAAACCCTAAACTTTTGGCCCTAAACCCTGAACCCTAAACCTTGCAACGAGGGGATCATACCCAGGCAGCTTGAAGGCCAAGCCCGGCTAAGCCCCAGAGCCTCTTAAGGATCTTCCCTCCAACGTCATAGACATGATGACTCCAATGCGATTTCAGGAAGCAGTTGACACTTGAATTTGTACGCATCCTTATACACACAGATATCTATGTGCATGAAATACTGTGTATATATATATATATGTAAAACATTATATATGTATATGTGCTTGTACATGCTATGATATGTATATCCATGGCCAGCGGCCGCTTGAGGTTGAAGTTGTGCCACTCGGAACGGCAGTGTGCTCGGTAGTCACCGGCGTCCTGGTGGGCTGCAAGGGATCGCACGTCAGGAGTTTTAAGGCCTCTGGGGTTTAGGGTTTAGGGTTTAGGGTTTAGGTTTAGGATTTAGGGTTTAGGGTTTAGGGTTTAGGGTTTAGGGTTTAGGGTTTAGGGGCTTAGGGCCAGAAGCATCAGCCCGAGCACCCAGTAAACATGTTGATGGAGGGGCTTCTTTGCAAAGGGTCTTGCATGTTTGGGACCTGCTGTAGGGCTTACGCATTGGTCCCATCTGATCCTTCCTCGCTTGTGGACCATGCCAAGCACCGAGTGGAGTTTAGCAGAGAAGATTGAGGCCCAAAGAAGAACCCTAAACCCTAGAAGCCTGATCACGCTTGAAAAACGAGCGGACAGGGGTGGGTAGAGCACGACACCCCGCTACCCCCGGGGTCGAGGCGCACCGTGGTGCATTCCAACGTCAGGCCCGTCCCCGACTGAGAGCGCAGGCTTGGGAAGAAGCAGCCCTTGTTGGCGCAAGGGAAGAGTCCAATCGGTCTCGGGCGACAACGAAAGTTCACAGATTGGAAGAAGACGTTTGTATTGGAAACTTTGGCGGCCCAGCCCAAAACATTTGGCCATAAAGCGCGAGAACCGCTGTACCACAAACTGTCACAAACCATCATAAGCCCTGCATCCTGGCAACACTATCGAGGTCCCGACATGTCCCGACACGCAAACACCATAACCGCCAAGACCTGAAAGCAAAGTTCACGGCTTGCCCCCGCCCGCGCCCCTCCCGCCCCTCGTCCTCGAAGTCGGCTTGGCAGGAGGAACACCTGAAGCCTCGGGGGGGCTCAAGGTCTCAATCGCGCGTGGGGGTGGGGTCATCAGGAGAGGAGCCTGCAAGAGCTTAGTCGCAATCCCTTCTGTCAGCCCCTCCCCCCCCCCAAGAAAACAGGCCAGTGCTGAGGGCACCTGTTCGTGTTTTCATTGGAGGAGGGATTATGTCCATGTGGGTAAACCAGCAACCCCCAGCCCTGCAGGGTTTAGGCTTTAGGGAGCTATCTAGAGTCTAGAGCTTTGATGGGCTTCGCGAGTTGCTGAGGGCTTCAGGTTAAGGCCTTGGCGCTTCCTGAGCTTAGACTCTCTCGAGCTTTGAAGACTTAGCATTGGGTTCTCCTACCTCATGAAAAAAGTCTGATGCTGTGCTTCCGTATGGAGGCTTTTACGAGCAAACAGTTGCCGGTCCGGTCTTTGAGGTAAGAGCCTTGGGAAGCCCCAACTCTTACGCTCAGCCCTAAAACCCTAAATCCCTCAACCCATAGATCCGAACCCCTGGACCCCCCAAACCGCCCGAATCCGCCTAAACCCACCCTAAACCCTGAACCCCAAAAAGAAAAAGCTAAACAAACCTGAATCCCCCCTAAACCCTGAACCCTAAACCCCAAAAAGAAAAAAGATAAGCCCAACAGCCCTGGGCCTTTCTTGGCCGATGGCTTGGCCGCCGCATAGCCGCCTGTCGCGGGAGGGGGCCGCTCCGGCGGTGCTCCTCCAGGCCCCGAAGGGGTTTAAGGTCTAGGGTTTAGGGTTTAGGGTTTAGGGTTTAGGGTTTAGGGTTTTTGGGTTTGGGGTTTGGGGTTTAGGGTTTAGGGTTGAGGGTTTAGGGGTTAGGGGTTAGGGTTTAGGGCTTTAGGGGTTTGAGGGTTTCAGGGCCTAGAGGCTTAATGGTTTAAGGATTTAAGGGATTCAGGGATTAAGAGCCTCTTAGGGACAGTTCGGACTGAGGGGTTTCTGAGGGTCAAGCTGGGACAGTGGGACCGGGGCTTCTTTGCGCGCTTTGGACAGCCGTGCCTTGTTTTGCTGCCTCGGGGCGTCGTGTTCCAGGTTCTGTCGTCTGTTCTCAGGTTTTAAAGGATTTAGGGTGTCGTTCAATCTTTAGGAGAACTCCTCGACACCCCGAAGCCCTAGGTAAAGCCAT